AGAATGTGCTCATTCGAATTAGGAACGAAAATAATTGCTTATCATGAGTATATATGATACAGTTAAAAGTTACTTGTACACTGTAGATGTATTTACTTTAAAGTCGTATACGACCTTCGCGAGCGAGTTGAATGATCCAGGTTAATTGGAACGAAGTCTAGAAAGGGTTATAAAGTTTTGTATTTGGTAATGTGTAGGTTTGTTGAATATGATTTTTTTAATTCCTTTTATTCAAAATGTTAAAAAATAATTATGCGCTGGAAAATAGAGCTGACTTGATGGGAGATATGGCGTTAGCAACCTGAGATTGTCTTGTGGACACGGTTTAACCTTACTGTGCCCTCACCCTGGTTGTTGTTGTCGTTGTTTTAAGGGATTGGGAGCTACAGCTCATTGCATTTTTGGTTACAGTCTGTCTCACTAAAGTGGACATGTGCAGGTGAACTGTGTTCAATTAGTATATAAAATGCCCCAAAATGTGAACTCCTGACAATAATAACCTGAGAGTAAATCCACGTGCGTCTGCCTTTTCCCTCGTTCACCTTCGAAATCCTTGATCATGACAGAGTTCTGAAATTCAGTGACAATGTTGCTGAACAGTAGAATCTGATGGACGTATTGTGCAGAACCTGTTTCACACTATTGGTTCCAGGACCACTAACACTGGGAAGAGTGGCACTCTGAGCTGAAAAAAGTTTGGTCCTAACCGCCCCAACATCTACAAGTTTGTAAGCTTGTTGACATCATTAAGAAGAAATTAACAGTCCCATGCTGAGACCTTTCTCAAAATTCAGGGCGATGGCAAGCTGCCAACAAAGAGAAGAAAATATCCCAACCTCGACACAAGTGTGCTCAGTCAAACAATGAATTTACGACCGTCAGAAAACAACTCCTGTTGAGTATGCCGATGCTGTATCTCAACCGTGTTGACCTGAAAAATTAAAAATGCTAATTCTACCATAAATTTGGAATTTACTCGATTCTGATTGGAGGCTATTAAATCACAATAAACCCCCTCTGATTGAAACAGCTGGTTTGAGGGCCGCATCACCGCGGAAGCTAATATTCATAGAATAGTACTATTTTCAGTCATTGTCGGTAGGCATATTTAAATAACTATATCGACAATTACAGGTTACAAAATGCACAGATGCGGTTACTACAATATTCAAAGGATGTGTGGCAATACATTTCGTGCAGAAAAACACGACAGAAATCAACAAAGGGAATGTATTTACGTTTTGGAGACAACAGAGAGCTTGAAATTTTGGCGCTTTTCTATATATGACTGTGACGTCATATCTTTTGCGTCACAATGAGTGATATGACGTCATAATGGTGACGCGCGAGATAGAGCGAAAGCCTTGCAAAGCTTGCTTTGTTTACTTTAGGGATGCCCACCTCATGTTAGCTTACCAAGTTGCCGTGCTTATATGCTTTCAATGCCTGTCATATGTTCGAGTGTAGTGTTACGGTGTACACGAACTGCTTGAGTTTATACAGCACCATATTTTGTTCGGTGATTCCATAATTCAGATCGATAACCCACTCAAAACACTGAACTCAACCCATGCCGCTTCACTCAGTATATTTGCTAACACCAAAGAGTTCGCGTTTTATTTAGTCATGGTAGAATGGAGATAAACATACTGTGTTTTCAATGTAGAGCTAGGTTACCTGTAGATTTAACCGCACTAAATTTAACATTTGAAACCTGACGCTGCGCGTTCGGTTCCAAAATTAATTTAGCGGGGTTAAATCTACAGGTAACCTAGCTCCACATTGAAAACACAGTATGTTTATCTCCTAATTAAACCCATAATATTATAATTATTTTTAATAGAAACCGTATCTTAGTTTGTTCTTGCACTGTATCAGATCGTGTTTTTCATCTGTATATGTGTAATGTGTATATGTATAAATGACTACACTTTTACCGCATATTCTGCAACAGACACTAATTACTCGTCTTATTATTGTCTCTCCATTTACCATGGCTGACTGCACTAATACCCTTTTAACAGGGGACACCGATTTCAGTATACAGACAGACAGATAGTTTATTTTATGTCTCGCCTCAATTTTCATATAAAATGCTATAAAAATAACATTAAATAAAATAAAATGAGCCACTCCTATTGGAGTTATGAGAGACAAACTACTAGAAGTAGTATAAGCATAGTTTAAAAACATTATCGAAGATAAAATTCTGTACAACATATATGCAAATTAAAAAATATATTAGGCTTTATATAAAATATAACTACGCAGCTGTAAAATTGCCTTGCAGGTTTTGGCACTAAGCGTTACAACACTGGGACTGGCCAGGATAAAACAAACTTTCACAATATCACATTCATCTTTAAAACCACACCACACTTCATTACATTTATCTAATAAAACCTGTCGAACGTCATTATAAGTTGGGCAGTGTAATAGAACATGGACTTCGTCTTCCACACACGTATCACAATAAAAGCACACTCTCTCGTTGAAAAGTAGGTTTGTATATCGCCCAGTCTCCACTCGTATTGGGGCTACACCACATCTGAATACAGCTAGAGAGCGTCTGTTAGGCTTTGACATAGGAATCTGATTAAAATAAGCAACATTATATTCGTTCTTCAGCTGATTATATAGTCGTAGCTTGTTGCCTCCGTTACCGCTTCGACTGTTCACTTGACTCACTGAAATTTTCCATTCCTCCTTGAAGCGTTGAAATACAGTATCTCTCACTTTACCTCCAATTTGACGATAGTGATACGTGTTATTTGTGGAGGTAAAAACAGATAGACCTAATTGTTTATACTTCGTGTGTACTCGGAAGTTCCAGTTCCTCTTGTTGTTTAGTGCGTGTTTATTGGCCCACACAAATACTTTTCTTGTAAATCTATGTTGTAGAATGGAGCTGCAACGTTTGTAGAACTTTGAGATAGTTTCCCATTGTCTTACTATTGGGGGAATCCACCCCATGTCTCCAGATACAGCATTATTCGGAGCAAACTTTCTCAATCCTATGAAAAATCGCATAGCCTTGTTCTGGACTGCGTTGATAGGCTACATGTAGGCTTTTTGTTCAAAAAGGAATATGCAGGAAATTATATGTAACAATTAACTGTGTACTAATTACATGTTTGAATGTTATCAGTTTTGCGTTCTGAGATACAGTGATGTAAGCATCTTCTACAATTAACAATACATGTATAAAATAAAATACAGAACTCTCTGCCGGAATTCTTCGTGGAAATCATTCGATCAAAAAAATGAAGGCGTGACAAGACGAATCAACTATTTATACCCCACAAAAGAAACTGCCTTATTTTAGGAACAGTGCTCTAACAGGACATTGAAATTTCTAACAAGCAGATACATTAGAGACAGTGACTAGACTACATGTACGTAATCCGTATCAATCAAAGGTGTAAAATAACTGAAAATCATATCTGTTTTATTATTACTATATTTATTACAATGCAAATACTTTAGTGATACATTTTTCAGAGGAGAGGGCATACACCCAAGTATATTGCTTCCGTGTGTGAATGCAGGTTATACTTGGCATCTCAGTTCTCAGTTTTATACCGGTTGTATATCTGAATTTGTATATCGAACCATGCGTACAGCTAGTACTTGCTAGTCGTCAGTCTGCAACACACATAACACGGTCAAACAATTTTGGGCACCGCTTTTGCAAGTTATTTATTACAATAATGTTTTATTAAAAGCTATTTCAATTTGTTTTCACCATTTTCCCTATTCCATTCCATGCATGTTTATGTTGCTACAACTTATTGCTCATGTCCCCAAGTATTATAAAACACTTTAATGTTTCTCTCTCCTAATCTAACGTTAAACCATGTCAGGTCATTACCATCATCTAATACACAAGAGTTGATATCAAGACATATTTACAATTGATTTAACTAGTCTTTAAATGTTATGTCTAGTACATATTTTCACAAACAGGACCGTTAGCTGATATAAGGAAGGTAACATCCAGTTGAATTCCCCGTTGACGTATTTACTTTAAAAAAAATCAAATATGAGGACTGTATACGACATACGTTAGTCTCTCAACGACGTTTCTACAATTAATATTTTGAATAAGCCGTTGATATGCCAGTTGTGACAAGGATGATGGTATGGTAGCTGTAGCAGACAGATTGACAGTCGTTGTTACGTGCGTCACTAGGTAATTAGTACAGAATAAAATAAAATAGTTGAATTAAGTTTAAATGAGTAAAATTTTGTGTCATGATACTTGAAATAGATAAATTTATGTATTTGCGAAACAAAAACATGAGTTTTAAGTAAAGGAACATATTCTCGCCCATGGGCGAAATATTGCAATATCGCTATAAAATCGTTGAATTAAGTTCAAAAGAGTTAAATTTTGTGTCATGGGCGACATAGTGTAAATATTGAGTTTTTGAACAATTCTTTTTTCATTTTTTTTCCTTGTTATGTTCCCATGAAAACAGCATGTTTAATTTTGTAAATACCTTTGACCTAGACTGGGCAAAGACCGTAGAGTTTCTGGTCTTTTGGGTTTCCAGAATTAAAATGGGACGTGTTCTTATTAGTCCAGACATAATTAAGCCAGTTTGATATACACACTGCAAGATAAACTCACATCTCCATCCTCCCTTGTCAACTACAACACAGCCATGCATCTAGAGTTTAAAGGACACTGACTGACACTTGGTTATCGTTTCATCACGCCGCTTCCTACTCATACAAAATAAGACGTGCAAAAGTAGCTTTGATCTTTGTTAATTTCATTAATACGATATCGCACAACTTTGAAGACGCAGTTGATACTATTGTTATGCATTTTCATTGTGAAAAAACGCCACAACATTTTCAGCAAATCTGAGTACAAATCATGTTTTTTCGGGAACAGTCTATTTTTATTCAAGGCAATCTAGTCCTAACCCCATGAAGTTTATGTGTATGAAAACTGTTTGCAAACCTTACAATTACGTACATGCTTTTTCCAGAAACATCTGGTGCTGTTCCTACTGCTGGTACACCCTGTTTTAGAGCCTGCTATGGCATCCTCCCAAGCTGCGCGACGAGATGCAAGTAATGATGCGAGTCGAAATGCAAGTCAAGTTGCAAGTCGACATGCCAGTAGTGATGCAAGTCGAGATGCCATTAGTGATGCAAGTCGAGATGGAAGTCGAGGTGGAAGTCGAGATGCAAGTCAAGATGCAAGTAGTGATGCAAGTCGAGATGCCAGTCGAGATGGAAGTCGAGATGCAAGTCGAGATGCAAGTCGAGATGCCATTAGTGATGCAAGTCGAGATGCAAGTCGAGATGCCAGTCAGGATGCAAGTCGTGATGCCAGTAGTGATGCAAGTCGAGATGCAAGTCGAGATGCAAGTCGAGATGCCATTAACGATGCAAGTCGAGATGCCAGTCGAGATGCCAGTCGAAATGCCATTAGTGATGCAAGTCGAGAGGCAATTCGAGATGCAAGTCGAGATACCAGTCGAGATGCAAGTCGAGATGCCATTAGTGATGCAAGTCGAGATGCCAGTCGAGATGGAAGTCATGATGCGAGCCGAGATGTCAGTCGAGATGCAAGTCGAGATGCCAAAAGTGATGCAAGACGAGATACATGTCAAGATGCGAGTCAAGATAGGTGTGAACCGTGTCGCTGTTCTTTTTGTGGAGAGAAGGTTAAAGCTGATTGTTCGTATCGGAAACTAGACAAGGTCCCATCACATCTGTTACCCAACATAACTGAGCTCAATCTTTTAGGAAACAACATCCATCGTTTGGAAAATAGATCTCTCAGTTATCCAAATCTTACCATATGTAGTATATCTTCAAATAGACTGAAACATATTGAACTTGATGCCTTTCAACAACTAAGAAACCTTGAGATTTTGCACCTTGATAATAATGATTTGATAATAACAGAGGTCTTTCGTCACAGACTGTTTAAACATCAGACAAAACTTAAGAAGCTCTATATTAACCAAAATGTTAAATCTCGCCCTTACGATGCTAGCGTAAACCTAACATTAGAATGTAGACACCCAAAAAGTGTATTCGAATATAGAACAAATTCCAGTTTCATTCTGAAAGACATTCATCATATTGGGAATACATTTGGACACAATTCTTACCAAGGTTGTGCTTTCAAAGATTTAGTATCATTAGAAGAATTATACATTGATGGACCGGAAGAACTATATTTTGGCAAGGAATTCAAGAATCTGAAGCACCTACGGTCACTATCACTTGGGGGGCGAGTTTAGGACATGTTACACGCGTTGCTTGAGGAATGACTCATTTGAGAATGTGCCTCACTTGCAGAATCTGGATGTGTCTTTCTGCCTGTTGGTTGACATTGAACTAGCATCTTTTGAAGTGTTAAAGAATCTTAGTAACCTCCAAATGTTACATAACAGATACCTAGGAATTCCAAAAATGGGACAAGCTATGTATGGATTGCAGAACTCCTCTCTGAGAGTGCTAAACGTAAACAAAATATGCCGAATAATGGGGCTTAGTACTATGTTGACAGCTAAAGATACTCAATATCTGAAGAATATGAAATTAGAGGAATTGTACATTGAAGGAAACAGAATAGAAATAATTGATAGAAATATAATGATTAACCTTCCAACATCTCTCAGAAGAATATCTATCAGAGATAATCACCTTTCGTTTGGTCTTTACATGATGGAATTGTCCATGCTGACAAATTTGGAGTGGCTGGATACTGCCTATCAAGGGACATCGTATGTTTCCTTCTTTGATACCGCAAGCCTTCATTCACGTCACCTTCTGCAGCTGTATGGATATTACAAACCTTCCAGTCACAATGTTACAATTTATGTGCCTCCAAATGTTACATTTATCGATGTAAGTCATTCCAAAATGGCCTATGAAGTTATACGTTTCGAAATCGGCCCAAACAAACTTCGTGAAGCAGATTTATCATTTAATTATTTTACCAGGTGGATGGGTCCTATCATAGGGCTAACACACCTGGAAAAATTAGATGCTTCTAATAATTTCTGTGAATACCTAGCAGAAGGAGTGTTTACATACTTTCCATCTTTAAAAAATCTTGATATCAGTTCCAATTACCTTGGCTATACCCTGACGAATGACACATTTGGTGCAATGCCTTTGTTAGAATATCTCGACTTATCAAATAATAAGATAAGTTCACTTCCAAAGCTAATCTTCAAGAACACAAGTCAGCTTAAAACCATAAGAATTGATTCAAATTATTTGTTGTCATGGAATACAGAAATAAACAATTTTCATATGACAGTAATAAATTTATCAAGAAACACCTTTGACGAAGTTCCACTTCTGTTGCGTTATCAGGTCAGTTGCATGGTAAGTAGGGATTTTCAGCTGTACTTTAATGACAACCCTCTCAAGTGCAATTGCTTAACTTTGACTTCATTGAAATGGATGAGAGATCATGCTTCGAAATTACATAATCTTGATGGCATCAGCTGCCTTGATGACAGAAACAGACGACTATTCTTGAAAGACATCCATCAAATCATCTTCGAGCTTGACAAAAAGTGTACCTCCTACCTAGGTATTTCTATCGGGGTTCTCTGTCTTGTGATGCTAGTTCTCTGTTTGTGCATAACAGGTATCGTGTACAGGTTCAGATGGAAACTGAGGTATCTTTACTATCTCATACGGATGAAACACAGGGGTTATCTTGCCGCTGGGGAGGAAGAAGAGGGCGGGCCACAGTTTGAGTTTGATGCCTTCATTTCATACGCTGACGAAGACCGTGGGTTTGTTGTTGAGAACATGAGGCAGATATTGGAGGGACAGCATGGCCTTCGGCTCTGTATCCATCATCGAGACTTTCTCGTGGGGGAAGCTATTGCTGCCAACATCCTAAACGCTGTGAAATCCAGCAGGAAGACCGTGATCGTCCTGTCAACGAACTTCTTGAGGAGCTACTGGTGTAAGTATGAAGTGGAGATGGCGAAAATGGAGAGTATTTACACTGGACGAAACACACTGCTGGTGGTAGTCCTGGAGAATATCCCTGTGAAGGACCTGACCCCTGCTATTGTGGAGCTGATGCGTCAAGACTCCTACGTAGAGTACACAGATGATCGGGAAGGTCAGGAGGTATTTTGGCAAAATCTTGAACGTGCTCTACATATTGTGTAGTTGGCTGTTTAGATGTAGGAGCATGATCTGTGGGATTGTAGATGTTTCACAATTGATCTGACCTTTTAAATTTTCTACTTTCTTACATTTTACTTCAATGATACCTGGAGATACATTTTATCATTCATTTCCTTAAATGTGTTGTTGTGGTTTATTGTTGAGGTTGCAGTTTGTTGTGCTTGGATTGATCTTCCCCTTCATATTGTCTTCTCAATAATAACCTGATATATCGAAAGTTTACCATGCATGTGTTATGGTAGGTCTAAGTTTTCATATTGTTACCGTTTTGTTTCTCCTCTGTAACATTATGCTGAGCACACAAGAGGTTGTGACAGAGGTTTCGACTTACATATTCTTCGGTTGCTATACTGGAATGCAGTTAAACTGTACATCTTCATGACTGCGGGACAGGTGTGTCAAGGATATGGAGTTTCAGACGTTTGAAGCTTTCAGATCTCATGTGAGTCACAGAAGGTCTAATAGTGTGTTTTCTATTGCGTGTTACCTTATTATTTTTCCTGTAGAATTATGTAGGGCATATCACATGAGGGTGTGGCAGAGATGTTTGACTTTACATTATCGTTCTACTGATGTTTTGGCATGCACTCAACTGTAACTTTGATCTGTAGGAGAGAGGAGTGTTAAGCACAAGTTTTTGAAATTACCCAAGTTTCGTTTATATTATTTTTGTCCAGTGAGATAAAGGTTGAAACTTACAGATGGCTTTTCAATCCAAAATTAAATAACAAAACCAATTTAATTATATATCCATGTTGTCAGGGGTTTAATTACATTCTTACATGAAGCTTTAATGTACAAAGAGATAAACATGTACATCAATGTGTTAGGCAATTCTCACTGAACACCCATTGCCTTCAAAGCCACAAGACCAGTCTGATGTACCATTTCATCTCAAATGATATGTTCAAGCAATAATAATTAAATTTTCGTTGTGTTCATTGAAATTCCTGTATTCTGATTAGCTGAATTGGTCACGTGTTATTGCATTCATTCCCAATGAATGTAAAAAATTAAGCCACGCCCATCGAGGCGCACTACTTTTATTACATCGAAAGTTCGGGGAATCCCTATATTACAGCCGAGGGAATTCCCTTTCTGCTCACGTGTATCGTCAGGCACAGGACATTTAGCGACTTTCATGCATATTCATTGTCCAAACAAACCTTTGAAACCGAAGGCCGAGAATGAATGAAAAAGCAAACATGCAGGCTCGCTCGCCTGGTTTTTTTCTGCTCGCCTCGGTTCAACTTTTATGTCTTCGGGTTTCCTTTCTAACTAGCATTTTTCCAACTGTGTTTTACCATAATCAGGGAAGTAATGTTTGAATCTGGCGGTAACTGGCCATGTAATTTGAAACAGCCGCCTTCTCCCGGACATGTCTCTTCAAGTTCGTTACAGTCTGACTGTCTTGTCTTAAGTGACAGGTCCAATGAACATTGTTTTGATCCTGCTCTCCGTTGATTGGCTACTGACAGTGTAGGCGTGTCAATTTATGTGCATAAATTAAACAATCACCTGATTCATGTCACCCCACAGTATGTATTCCTACAACTGGAATGTTTATCAATCTCGTCAATTTTTTCTGTTTTGATATATACAACTGTTTTTGGTTTAACTATTGTAGATAAAACATGTTTTATGCTGTCGTATTTAATTATAAGCATTGACTGTGTATTTTTTTCGTTTCATTGAGGTATGATTCGAAAAACCAATGTGCAAACTTTTGTAAGAATCCGCTACGCGGATTCATAGGGTTTGCACATTGGTTTTTCGATTCATATCTCAATGAACGGAAACAATTACACAGTCAATCCTTAAATATATTCCTATTGTTCACATGATTCTTGCTTAGTTTTATCGACTGTATCTATGAACATGATTGTAATTTTTACGTTTGTTAAAGAATGATAAATAAATATGTTTGCTTTCAACTGAAGTAAAGAAATTCTTTCCACAAGAGTGAGTGAGTGATACTCAACACTGCAGTGACCAATATCCCAACAACATGCATACTTGTACCATAAGGGACAGTAGATACTCGAGTCTGGACAAGAAATTCAATGGTAAAAATGACATGTGGCACCTAGGTCCAGCTTGGCTATGAAGTATATGTTAACAAGGAGTTATCAATATTTGACACTGAGCAGTTTCAACCATATTTGTTCTATGCATGGCCAATACAGTATGTGACAAATCCGTCCTGAGATACTGATTTAATCATTGCATTGCAAAGTGTCATGTATCTTATGAATGTTCATCCATTCCAAACACCTGAATGTGATCCTTATTCTGTACTCGTGGATCATTTAAGGGCAATACAACAGCCTGATAATGAATGCTGCAAAACCGATAAACGCCTTCTACCAGTCATAATAAAAAGGAAAGCGTACCAGTTTTCACTTTCATGATTTCTTGGCAGCTTCCAAGTAATCTTCTTGGAAGTCAGTACACCAAATGCAATTCTCGCAACGCATTGACTGGGGACATGGAACGCTTATTCACCACACGAAAGGACAGTATTTCCCATAAGTATTCACGCTTGTAAATGAAGGTGTAATCCGAGGTCTATTTGACAAACGCGTGAAAAATATGCATCGTTTGGCCGAGGTGTCTGATGAACGTGCGACCGGATAAAGGGAAGTGTATATGCCATTGACCAGATGGAAAAATGTCAGCTTGCATAACAGTGTTTTACTTAGTCAGGCCCTTGGCGCTTTTAGGTTATTGAGATTGTTGGAGCATTGATGCCAACTGAATCAACATGTGTAAAATTAAGACAATATGTGAGCCCGAATTTGTCAGATGGTGGAAAAATATATGATCACCTTGTTTTAGATTCGGTAATATGAAAACTATTCAAATACATACGAAAAACCACAGGCACTAAAACATTTGAAAATTTACAAAGAGAAGTGTTTCCTAGCACAGAGAATGCCCATTTTTCAAACCCTTGCACATTAAAAAAATAGTCCAAATGTTCGAAGCCATGAGAATAAAAAATGTAAAATGGAAAAGTAAATGTTTACTTAGGTATTAACCTCTGAAAAGTTCAGCACATCCGGTCATAGCTTATATGGCAATAACGACAATGACGGATGATGATCAAATGTTTCATATGTGTAGGTGTATAGAAAATATACACCCAAAGTAAGTTCACATCTGCAAT